CGTGTCTGGTATGTCAGAAAGTTAAGGCAGAACATCAAGCTCCTGTGGGAAAACTGCAACCACTTCCAATTCAAGAATGGAAGTGGGAAAGAATCACAATGGATTTTGTATATGGTCTCCCATTATCAAGGGGAAAAGATGCAAAATGGGTTATTGTGGACCGACTGACCAAATCGGCTCACTTTTTACCCATTAGATGGAAACCATCACTGGAGACTTTGTCTCAACTATATATTAAGGAGATCGTCAGATTGCATGGTGTGCCAATTTCTATTGTCTCTGATCGAGACCCGAGCTTCACATCTCGGTTTTGGCAAAGTTTACATGATGCCTTGGGAACTAAACTGCATTTTACCTCAGCTTATCATCCTCAAACAGATGGGCAGAGTGAACGAACCATCCTTACCTTAGAGGAGTTACTTCGATCATGTGTAATGCAATGGGAGGAATCATGGATTGACCATTTGCCCTTAATTGAGTTTGCTTACAACAACCAGTACCATAGTAGCTTGGGTGTTCCACCATATGAAGCACTTTATGGGAGGAAGTGTAGAACACTATTATGTTGGGATGTAGAAGGAGCAAGGCAAATCTCAGGGCCAGAGATAGTTCAGATCACAGTTGACAAGGTCAAGGAAATCAGGGAGCGTTTAAGGGTGGCTCAAGATCGACAGAAAGTTTATGTTGACACGAGTAGGCGTGAAGTTAATTTCGATGTGGGTGAGAAAGTATTTCTCAAAGTGTCACCATGGAAAGGGGTTATGACATTTGGTAAGAAAGGAAAGCTTGCACCTCGATATATTGGGCCATATGAAATCACAGAGAATATTGGACCAGTGGCTTATAAGTTAGCATTGCCTCCAGAACTATCCCAAATCCACAATGTATTTCATGTTAGTATGCTGAAGAGGTACAAAGTGGATCCTTCCCATGTTATACAACCAGAAGAGATCGAGTTGGGTCCAGATTTAACTTTTGAGGAGGTTCCAATTGAGATTGTTGATTTTCAGATTAAGACTCTTCGCAGGAAAGAAATTCCAATGTTGAAAGTGGTGTTGAGAAATCAAGATAGTGAGAGTGCTACATGGGAGACTGAAGCAAGTATGCGAGAGAAGTACCCTGAGTTAGTAGCAACCTACTTTGCAGGTTAACAATCTTGCCTAATAAGTTATGTTTTCAGCTTGTTGATGTGCTTTTGTTGTGATAGCCCAGTATAGGTTTTTGAAACCTAAACATGGGAACTTGAGGTGTTATGTGTTATTTTCTATGTTATGAATCGCCTATTCTAAGAGTTAGGAAAGGGTTTATCTATGATAGACCATGTTAAGGGTAAGTAAGAGGAGTTAGAGTACGACTCATGGATAGATTTCGGGGACGAAATCTTTTAAGGAGGGGAGAATTGTAACATCCCGTTCCGGCAAAACCCATATTTTGATTGCTAGAAAGTTCGTGATTTAAAATCGAGCGTTTTAATAGTATTTCGGCGAAAATTGGATTATCGATCGATCGGATAAGTATACGGATTAATTATATATATATATATATATATATATATATAAATATGGTTCCTTCTACTGTACCTCGAGTGAAATCCGGGGTACCACATACCTTGAGTTTAGATCGGAGCCGGGATCGTTGAATTTAGCTCCGGCCAGGGTTTGATGTGTTTTTATCAAGAATTTGACCCGGAGCCTAGAACTAATATTGACGGGGATACTGCAGGGGATATTAGGACGGTCTCGAATTTTAATTCGGGGTTCGTTCCTGAAATTGACGTTTTAGTACGGGAAGGTTTAACCGGTGTTTGAACGACCAGAACTGGTGAGGGATTAGCACGGCATACCGGGTTTGTCGTATCATGATAATTATATTGATGCTTAGAATTGACCTAGGTGAATTAGAATGGCATGCTTAGGGGTGTATGGACTTTTCTGCTATATGATGAACTATAGGCTTCTGTATGATATTATTGACTTGCCCTAATCGATATGGACCTTGTTTATGTTGATGATTGCATATATGTTGCCAGATGTGGGGTTAATTGTGAATATGCCTTATGATGTTTCGAGAAGGTGATTGGATATGATTTTTCATGATTGTTGTATTTGGATGCACAAGTGGGAAAATATATATTCCCTGGTAATATTATGATGTTTTAAGGAGGATGACTTGCACGAGGGTGTATCCCGAGGAAGTGCAATTATACGAATCCTGATTTACCTATGTTGAGCCAATTGTGGCCAGGTCAAGTACATGTGTAAGTAATGAATTATGATTAAGCAAGATGAGATACGAATCATGTACAAGGATACCAAATATGAGTGTTGTGGTCTCACGGTTAACTACATAGTAATTAGGGCTCCCTATGCTATTACTCTATTATGATATGTATGATAGTCACACCTCTCATGTGGTGGTGACTGAAGAATTCTTACGAGATATGACCACACCCAGAGCGGTGTCGGGGTATGACTACACCCATAGTGGTGTGGGGTATGTATGACCACATCCGACGGGATGTTGGGGTATGTATGACTACATCCGACGGGATGTGGGGTATGTTTCCCGGGAGAGTTATTAGCATGGGAGTAGCCAGGCGCCTATGATTAAAACATGATAAGATGCATATGCATAAGTCAAGGTGGTTGAGTCTTTTGCCTATTGGGATGTCGGAGGGCTGAGATCCGATCCTAGTGTTTTGGCTTGTTTGCTAGATGTATGGTAGGGGTATGCTCTGTTATGAACTCATGATGCTATGATTATCTCACTCAGCTATGAGCTGACCCTCTTTTATTCTTCTTCTCTGCTTATGCTATGTGTAAGCAGATCATCATCAGCAGCAGTAGATAGGTGTATAGGTGGGAGCTGAGCAAGAGTTGAAGGCAAGATGAGGTATGGTCTTCAACCATTCTGTGCTTGGACTACTACTCGGGATTTTGGCCAGTGATCCACACCTTTTTGTAAAAATGTTTTGAGAACGTTTTTCATGTGCATACTAGCTTCTGATGTAGTGTGAGATATCCACAGGTGTGGAAAATTGATGATATGTGTATATGTTGTGTAACTGTGTAAGTTGTGACGACTATGACATGTATTAGTAAGGTATGCAGTTGCGGAGTATGAAACTGTGCCTATGGCTATGAGAAGCAATGTATAAGGTTATGAGTATATTTGTATGTCTACGAATGAAGGGATTCATATGAATTATTTTGCAGGATAAGTTGCAAGAACTGTTAGCCCATTACGCGAGTAATTCATGTCGAAATTTTATTTGGGTAAATTTTGATAATTAATGTAACACCCAAGTTTAATTCCACTGCAATTGTATGAACAATATGATTATGCAGAACGTATAGGGTAGGGTGTTACACATCAAATCTAGGACCCGGGTTGACATTAAAACCCAAACCCACTATACTACGCCTTAGGAAGTGGTTTCACTTGGCCATTTTCTAGGGTGACAGTAGGAGTGAGTCAAGTTTTTGGCGCCGTTGCCGGGGACGGCTAGGTTGTTGAAGAAAAGTGATTTCTGTTAATTTAGCTTTTCTTTTCGCATGGTTTGCTTTGTCCCACTTGTCCCTTCACGGGTTTGCTTGCTTGAGTGTGTGCAGGTAGTGCATGACCTGTAGCCAGTCGGGAGGTTTACTGCCGTTGAATCCAGAGATTGACCGCACCTGTCGCCAACTCAGGAGACAACAGCGAGCTAGACTGGCTACGGAAGAGCGCATAGACGGCCACTTGAGCAGCGATTCTGAGGAAGAGTACGGGATGGACGGAGATTACAATCCACACCAGGGGAATCCTCAGCAGACTCCCCCGGTGAATCAGGTCCTGGGGAACAGCCCCATACCCCAGGCAGATGGGGTTCATCATCATCCACCGCCGCCGGGTCCCACCTTGGAGTACTACTACACTCCATGGATTGCTGACATCCGCCCGGTCATCCTCTACCCACCTATTCCTGCGAACAACTTCAAGATCAAGCCATGCTGGATTCAGCTCATTACATCCTCTATCCAGTTCCATGGCTTGAAGGATGAGGAGGCCAGGGTACACTTTCCCGTTTTCTGCAGCTGACGAACGGGTTCAAGCTGAACGGTGTCCCCGATGATGCAATCTGCCTTCACCTTTTCCCCCATTCTCTGGCGGGGAATGCTAAGAGGTGGTTGGAGACCCAGCCCCCATTGTCCATCACCTATTGGGACGATCTGGCTGACAAATTCGTGCACAGGTACTATCCGGCATCGAAGACTACAGAGATCCAGCGGGAGATCACTCACTTCCACCAAGAGCCAGATGAGTCACTTCGTGATGCATGGGAGCGGTACATGGGATATTTCTGGCAGTGTCCCCATCATGGCTTCAGTGATGCATTCACAGTGGGGAACTTCTACAATGCTCTCTCTCCGGACAACCAGAGGGTGATTGAGTCTCTATGCCCAGGAGGGGATATTCTTACTAAGACTCCACCAGAACAGAACCAGATGATCAATACCTTGGCTGCCAGAGATCATTCCTGGGGGCAGAGCAGCAGAGGCAGACATTCCCGGGACCGTGGTGTGCACGCCATAGAGACCAGATCCGGGCTCGAGCAGCAGGTAGCTGAGTTAGTGCAGACATTGAAGCAGCCCAACAGTCTGATTCCGGGCAGAGGTTTGGCTACACCTCCAGTAGCTCAATGTCAGTGGTGTGAGAGCTCAAATCACCTAGTGGAAGATTGCCAGGCTATGAGGGAGTCTACTACTCCCCAAGAGCAGTTGGACTTCATCGCCAATGCTCGGCGCCTCGACCCGTACAGTAATACATATAATGAGGGGTGGCGCCAGCATCCCAACTTCTCTTGGAGCAGCAACACCACTAAACCACCTGGTTTCCCAGCACCAGCTGGTGGCTTTCAGTAGAGGCAGCCCTTCCAAGCTCGACAAGGGCCAGCCCCACTGCAGCAGCCCTACCAGCCTAGGCAGGGGCAACCATTCCAGCAGCCCCTACGTCAGTATGCCGAGCCAGCAGCAGCTCCTGCCCCAGATAATCAGATGACAAAGCTGGAAAATATTCTAGCTTCATTCATGACTGCCACTCAGGCAACTGTCACGAGGTTGGACCAAAGCATAACCTCACTGGAGGCAGGTCAGAGGAACCAAGGTGCCATTTTGTAAGATCCGCAGAACCATATGGGTAGCTTTGCTCGCCAGAACACTACCAGGGCACCGGGGACTCTACCTGCTACCACTATTCCTAATCCTCGTGAGCCTCACCAGCACCAGCAGCTAGATGCCATCACTACCAGGAGTGGCAAGACCACATCTGCTGCTCCGGCCCAGCCCAGTAGAGATGAGCCACTACCTGCTTCAACACTTCCAACTGATAATGCAGAAGTGGGGGAAGACAAAGAAACACCTGCTCCCAAGCCACAGCCATTGGTTAAGGAGCATGTACCTCAGCTTCCTTTCCCCACTCGCTTACATAAAGACAAGCTGGAGACTGAGTTTGCCAAGTTCATGGCAATGTTGAAGCAGGTCAACATCAGCATGCCGTTCCTGGAGGCACTGTCAAAGATGCCCAAGTATGCCAAGTTCATGAAGGACCTCCTCACCAACAAGAAGAAACTTGGGGATCTTTCGACAGTGATGCTGAGCGAGGAGTGTTCTGCTATTCTGCAGAACAAGCTGCCCGAGAAGCGAAAAGACCCAGGGAGTTTCACTATCCCTCTTGTTATTGGCAGCATGCATGTAGGAAAGTCCTTGGCGGACCTAGGCGCTAGCATAAACGTCATGCCTTACAAATTGTTTAAGAAGCTAGGCCTAGGTGAACCTAGAGCTACTAGGATGAGCATTCAGTTAGTTAATCGTTCTATCGTGCATCCTAGGGTATCATTGAGGATTTGCTTGTTAATGTGGGTGCATTCACATATCCTGTTGACTTTGTTATTTTGGATATAAATGAGGATGTGGATGTACCTTTGATTTTGGGTAGACCGTTTCTCGCCACCGCCAAGGCGCTTATTGATGTGCATAGTGGTAAATTGATTCTGCGTGCTGGTGATGAACATGCTACCTTTTTTGTGTCTGAGAATGGGAAACACTCTCATTTGCATGATGACATAGATTACTGTGATATGCTTGCTGATTTTGAGACCGCACTCGCTATAACGAGTGCGGGTACTGACGATGCTCTTGAGCGTTGTATTTTGCTAGGTGAGCAGGCATCGCAGGAGCCGCAGCTGGCGGAGCAGTTGGCCGAGTTGGAGAGTAGCCCCTTCTTGGAGGGCGACAGGCTGTTCAAACCGATCTCATCCTCCACCCGCATCATTAATTCCTTGGAGGAACCACCAGAGCTGGAGCTTAAGCCCCTCCCTCCTCATTTGGAGTATGCATTTCTCCGGGAGGGGAATAAGCTGCCGATCATCATCAGCTCGACCCTCACACCCGAGCAGAAGAACAGACTGGTGACCTTGCTGAAGCAGTATGAGCGAGCTCTGGCGTGGAAGATCACGGACATCCGGGGGATCAGCCCTTCCTTCTGCTCCCACCGGATACTGATGGAGGATGAGATGCGGCCAGTGAGACAGCCGCAGAGAAGACTGACACCAAACCTGGAGGCTGTGGTTCGGGCAGAGATCGTGAAGCTGCTGGACGCAGGGATCATCTTCGCGATTTCCGACGGTGAGTGGGTCAGTCCCACCCAGGTGGTACCCAAAAAGGGTGGGATGACTGTGGTGCCTAATGAGAAGAATGAGCTGATCCCGATGCGCACGGTGACTGGGTACCGTGTCTGCATTGATTACCGGCGTCTCAACGACGCCACTCGGAAGGACCACTTCCCGCTGCCATTCATTGACCAGATGCTAGAGAGACTAGCGGGGCACGAGTTATACTGTTTCCTGGATGGGATGTCCGGGTACTTCCAGATCCCTATTGCACCGGAGGACCAGGCGAAGACCACTTTCACCTACACCTTCGGCACCTTTGCCTACCAGAGGATCCCATTCGGGCTATGCAATGCCCCTGCCACTTTTCAGTGATGCATGCTCGCCATCTTTGACCGTCTGGTCGGCGAGATTATGGAGGTGTTTATGGACGATTTCTCGGTTTATGGAGACTCATTCTCTCAATGTCTCCATAACCTGGAGCTTGTCCTTAAACGGTGTGAAGAAACGAACCTGGCACTGAGTTGGGAGAAGTGTCACTTCATGGTTCAAGAAGGCATCGTTCTTGGGCATAAGATCTCCAAGATGGGGATTGAGGTGGACAGAGCGAAGATTGAGACTGTCAGCAAGCTGCCTC